TTGGACATTTCCAACGCAGGGTGTGTAGGAAAGCTGCCTCCATCCTCAAAGACCGCACCCACCCTCAGGACAGACTGTGCATACAGGCACCCTCCGGCCGGAGGCTCAAAAGTGTGAAATTCAAGACCTCTAGTTTAAAAAACTCTTTCTTTCCCTCTGACATCAGACTCCTAAACAGCTGACAGGAGTTTATTACCAGGAAATGCGTCATGTAATGACGTACTGACGACCTGTACTGTTTACATTCTCAGTTTGCACATGCATAATTGCACATTCACTGTTGACTACTGCACATACAGCTTCCATGTAGCATACATTCTCTTATTATATTCTTATATATTTTTATTATAGCTCTTCATTTGCTGCTTTAAAGTGCCTTACATTTTGTGTTACTTATTTATCTACTTTATATTTCATTTGTATTGTGTGGCATTCATGTGGACGACAACGTAGGAATTTCATTGTACAGGGAAACGTGTTTCCGTACTGCGCATATGACAATAAACACTTTGACTTTGACTTGACTTGACTGGAAAAAGTGAGAGGTGTTTTACTGAAGTGTTTTGAAGCAGTGAGGGCCTACCAGTTAAGGTGCTCCTGTCTGTGCTGTAGAGCTGAAGAGGAGATAGCTTCTCAGTTTTGGGAATTAGCAGGGTTGCGCTGGTGGAGCCATGCTTGGAGCCCCGGCTGAGCAGTGCAGATGTGGCAGAGCCTCTGGAGGTGCTGGTGCGGGCACTTTGGCTGTGTAGAGGTGTCAAAACAGGGATCCCTGCTGGCCAGCCAGCTTCATGCTGCAGCTGTGATGAAGCTCCTCCAACATGTGCACTGCTGCTTGACTGCTTAAACAACACACACACCCTTTCAAATGAAAAATCATTTTAGTAATAGTGTTTCACAAAAACCTTGAGAGAGTGTTCAATGAGACACTTCCACATTGATGCAGACAGCCCTGAGACAACTTCATGATTATGAACCATGCTGTATACTTCTTTCATTGGAGCCAGCTTTTTTTTTTTGATAGTTTGATAGTTTTTTCCTTCAAACATTTTTTCTCTAGACATAGAATAATTAAAACCCAATACTGTATGTAGACCCCAGATAGGTCTAAATTCCTATTAGAACAAAGTTTTCAGTAAGGAGTCACAGAACACATAACAGAAATCCAAACAAACGTTTTTAGAATTAGGGAGCCGCACCACTGTGTTAAAAGTAGAGATGGACTATAGTGCAGTGATTTTGACACACAAACGCCAGTAAAACCCGAACATGTAAGCTAAGCTAATAAGCTACTGTCTGGAGCTTCATATTAAGTGTACAGACATGAGAGCGGTACCAATTTTCTGATCAAACTCTTGGCAGACAGCAAATAATTGTTGTTGTGATGTTATACCAAGCCATTATCAGTTCTTGTGACACTGAAGGGCAGGCTCACCGAGGAGCTGGGAGATGATGACCCCTGGCCCTTGGTTGTCACTAGAGTGGTATCAAACCCTAGGGATGGCTTCCCTGAAAGCACAAAATCCATCAATCATTTGACTGAAGTCTTATTAGTCATTCTCATTGACAACTGATGCTGAAAACAGAATAAAGGAGAGAGCTGACTTACGTTCACGAGTGCTGGAAGAGAGCAGTTTAGCCAGGCAGCTAGTGGACGCTGGGGAAGCGGACACGGGGCCAACTGAAGTCACAGTGGGACCAACTGTCCTCACTCCTCCTGTCTTTTGCCTGTGCTTCCCTTTAGCCCCTGTGACAGTCACCTGTTCTGGGACTGAAAAGCAGTGGGCCATAGTGACACAGGGTAGCACTGCCTGGACAGGGTCAGATACAGTAGCCAGGTAACTGAGAGGGTGGCAGGGACTCTGGGGATAGGTGTCTGCTGTGGGGGGGTAACTGTGAGCCTGGTGCACAGACCCTTGCGCCTCCATGGAGGAGGCAGTATGAGTGATGACACTGGAGGTTGTGCTGGTTGTTGTGTAGTAACCAAACTTGTGGCATGGCAGCGGGTACAAAAAAGGCACACTTACAGATGCCGGCTGCTTGATACTGGTGGTGAACACTACAGAAACAGGTGGCTCAGGGTATGACTGATGTTCATATGGCATGGTTACTGATGTGATACTGGATGTGTGGTATTGACTGCAGTCCTGGCCTGACTGGGTACTGGACGAGGTGGGCTGAGGCAAATTGTCACATGGACTGGGCTGTAAGAGAAAGATTCAGTTGACTAGTTGCTAATGAAATATTTCTGCAGCTCACAAGCAGGAGGAGCTGTTCACAGCTGCAATACCTGAGCCAGCGGGGAGTCAATAAGAAGCTGAGGAGTTGTTACCACAGGGGAGGGGGCTGGAGCAAACGCTGTGCTGCAGGAGCTCTCAAAATAGCCACATTCAGCAAAACCAGCCTGCCCTGCAGACTGGCCCTGGTGGTTCATAAAAATACCTGAGAAAACCACACACACAATGCAAACCAAACTGTCACTCAGCATGAAACTTTGAGCATTTATACAGCTGGAAGGAGAGAAATTGTTTTGGAAAATTATTTAGTACTCTCTTATGAACATTTGAAAAAGAGGAATCATTGGAAACAGAAACCAAATGTTTTTTCTGACACTGTTCCCTCTGCCTACACCACATACTGAAACATGTGCTTCTTCCTTTCCTTTAATTAACACATTTATGTTGATATTTATCTTGGCCAAGAAGGTAATAAAAAGTAAATACCGCAGAAACAAGCCAAGACATCTGCTTTTACATATGTTGTTTTTACATTAGAGCCACAATTTTATTAGGTTTGGCTGAAATGCAGTCTAGAGTATGTTCACCTCCAGTGTCCATGATTAAAGCTTTAGTCCATACTGTAATAGTGAACATTAGATGCATACTGTACAGTGTATTTATTACAGTCATTTGTCTAAATGCTAACTTCTGCAAACATCAGAGTAATAAAGGTGGGTCAGGCAACAAAAGTGTAAAGTTGAATAGTAATACAATAAAATGCAAAATTACTGCTGATGAATATTAGATCTAGTCATAAACACAGATGTTAAAGTGGAAGTGTTGCATTGAATTGCATGCAATTGTACAGGTGTACCTAACAAAGTGGCCAATCAGTGTATTTTTTTATTTTATTTTTGTGCATAGTTTTCACTCTCTAACCACAGATACTGTAATTCTAATATGGCTCAAAATAGCCTGAAATGACTACTGTCACAAAACTTCATTTTAGAAATTCAAATTACAAAACAGAAAATAACAGCACTAAGCTAAAACATCGAACATGAAGTCACCATCCAAAACATTCTGAAATTCTCTGTGCGTGGTGGTCACTCAGTGTATTAGCTTTGTATCTGCCAAGTCACGTATTTTTGGAGCCGCACTGACAACTGACTGTGGCAAGCTGCCATCTCTGATTAAAAACTGTTTCATCACATCTAACATATCTAAATTCAAAGCAGGTTTTGACCAGTTGAGCAGACAAATATTAACTCACTTGCTTCAATAAATCAATGAGACATTGATTCCAGACTAATGGAACTCACTGCCTATCATTAACATGTAAAGAATTCAGAATCCAACAGGATAAAAGCATTACATATACGAGGCTAAAATGTTGCACAATATGAAAATACATACCAGTGTACTGTATCTGTGTTTTCTTCTCAGTATGGAGACAGACAATTATCTGCATTTTAATTTAAGCCAAGCACTGAGGAAAATTTTGCATAAATTGAAGTCATGGTGGCATGGCTCTGAGAGACAGTAGCTGGCTGGACCTTGTGACCAAAAGAAAGGCAGACAGCTGATCCCTCTGTCTCTCTGGACACTGCCAATGCCAGCCATAGCAGTGTGCAGCAGGTTGTTTGTAGGTTACAAAGGCTGACTTGTAAACAAAGGGTTGCTGGATTGCTTCACTGAAAGTAACACAAAGGAAAAACAACCACAGCCACTGTGCCTCTGAGCAAGGAACTCAACTCCTGCTGTATGAAGCTCTTCTGCTGTCTTGTGTCTTGCTGTGGGCTGGCTGGTCAAGAAGCAAGCAGCCCTGGGTGAAAAACGTTCTCTGCTTCTCACACTTTCAGGAATGTATCAACAAGTACTACTCCGCACTTTATCACTGGTTCACTGAGCCAACATACAGTATGTATGTATATATACTGCTAAAAAAAATAAAGGGAACACAACATAGTTGAATGTCTTATTTTTGTGTTCCCTTTATTTTTTTTGAGCAGTGTGTGTATACAGTGCCTTGCGAAAGTATTCGGCCCCCTTGAACTTTGCGACCTTTTGCCACATTTCAGGCTTCAA